CCCCAAGAATAGGGTGACGGCCTCTTCCCGCCTCATTGGGTGCTCCTAGTCACGTGTGTGCTGTGGCGTGGTTATCAGTAGGGCCTCCTCTTATTCCTAAAAATGTCCTGGTTTTGATGATTTATTACACCCACCTCCACCACCCAAGAAGTGAGGCCACCCTGTGGTCTGTTGCTCCAGGTGCTAGCAGCCGTTACAGGTGAGGGTGCCTCCGTAGTCTCTGTCCTAAATTAAACAACGTGCTAAGATGCCTCAGAAATACCTGTGCCGGGCCCAGCGAGACTTTGAATGCTCAGAGGGGTGGCTGTGCCCAACTTTTGCTCCTCCTTATCCAACCTGGGGCTTTAGGGTACAAGCACAAACAGGGCACCTCTCCGGAAGGGAGGCCTGGGCAGGGGCGTGGGGAGGAGAGGACAGCCTCTGCTCTGGCCGCACCCCACTGCTGCTGGAGCCAGGCACCCGCCTTGTGGCCTTCGTCCTGTAGATGGAAACATCTAGGATGCTGAGACCCCAGACACCCGCTTAGTGGCTGTCCCAGCCCACATGCTTGGCCAGGCTTAATGGCGGAAGCCTAGGACTCAAGCAGTGGGGACAAGGCAAGCTCTCTCTAAAAAACACTGCTCAATTATTTGCTTTCAAGTTCAAACTCAAGTGACCCTCTGGCATCCTCCCATCCTCCCCCTAAAAAGATCTCTCTTTCCAAATGCCTTAGAGAGGGATGATACAGTAGAACACATTGTTTAGTTTAAGATTATAGCCTGGATTTCAAGTTCTCCATGAAATAAATACTTGGATTCAAAACACTCAAACAATTGACTTGCAACAGATTTCTCTAAGTCTTGATAATCATCACATAAAAAGCTGCCAACTTTGTGCAAGACACCAGAAACAGGAACTGACAGAGAGACATGTGCGCACACACGTTCCAAGGGAATCTGCTTGGTCCTGAAACGTTAAACATGCCGGGGAACAAGAAGAGCCCCTCCCACCGTCCATGCCTCACCTCCGCCGTGCAGCCGCCCGTGGAGGGACTGGATCACTTTGGCACTCCCGAAGCGCTTGAAGCGGGCTCTCACGAGCTCGTAGTACCACTCCAGCGAGCTGATCTTCACCACTCTGTGGAGAGACCAGCACAGGTCCACGGTACGGCCCGTGTACTGCATGTGGCACGTGCACGTGCCACGCACACATACGCATACACACGTCCACCCTTGTTTAGCCAGCCACATTGAAGGCACACATAGACCCAGAAGCCATCAGGGTCACTTGACCTCAAGGCCTTGGCTCACCTGGCCAGGTGGCAGGGGTCGCAGAGCCAGCCCTGCTCCTCCGGGTGGATGCGGCTGCAGCTTTTGCAGGTGAAGAGGCCGCAGTCCAGACATTGCCTTTTGCTGTTCACAAGCAGGCGGTAGGGCTGCAGGCAGCGGGCGCAGTGGGTCTCATTCAGATGGGCAGTGTCAGAGAGCAGCTCCCTCTTGGAACTTTCCTTCTTAATCTTGCCCTTCAACCCCCTGGGAAAATATCAGAAAGAGGAAATATATCAGACATCTTGTTCTTGCAACAGGCTTTAAATGTGTACGCACGTGTGCACGCACACGCACACACACATACACACACAGGAGCTCTCTCATATGCAGGCAACAGTGACCCAAAGTTGGGCAGAGGCACCCAAAGGCATCCCTTACCAAGCAGTGCCAACTCCATGCCCCACTCTGTCTCTGGGGGTAAGACCGGTAGGTTGAGTTCAAACGTGCAATTTTGGTAGGTTGGAATCGAAACATATTAATTTCATAGAAATGACATTGTATTTAAGCATTTCGTGGCTGTTTACAATTGTGCCAGTGTTTGGAGGGCAAGTCACTGCACGCTCCCTAGGGGGGTCGCAGAGTCCTGAGGGCAAAGCCAGGTGACATTTCCTCAGCAAGCAGCTCTGGCTCTCTTCTAGCAGGGCGGCAAGCGTTGAGCTCACGCTCTAGGTTTGCCCCAGCAGAGCGCCACGAAAGTGGCTCGGCTTGGAGAGTTTCCAGAGAAGGAATTACCCAGCACCAGGAAGTCCCAGGATAACCACAGTTCTCCTAGGCCATCTGGTTTTGAATAACACAGCTTCCTGGTGAACCGGCCAAGTTGAACTGACTAGAAAATGTACCTAGATAATAATGAACACATTCTTTTGTTTTGGATATCAGAGAATGTCCGCCAAACATAATATTTTTAATTTTAGATGAGATAAACTTAATCCATTCTTAGTGACAAAATTAGAGAGACACTGGTGCCATTGTCTTCTGAGAACTCTGAAGTTCTTGGATTTTTGAAAGGGAGGCCACAGAGTATAAAAAGGGTGAGGGCCACGGAGTCATCCTAAGAGGTGTCGGAGGCTGCCTCTGGTTGACAGTGGCCCTGCTGAGCTTCACTGAGCTCCCACTCCCAACTATTCATTTACATACTCGCCAAGACAGACACAAAATCTTGAAGCTCTCGTTATAGCTTCAAAAGCCAAGAAAAAAAGGGTCAAGCAGTTGTGGGAATCTGGGCCAGGCTGGGTGGGGGCGGTGGATACGGTCATCCACAGACTACGGTCTGGGTAAAGCTGTATCCACAAGGTCAAGTCTTTGCCCAGAAGAGCACCTGGAGCCAGTCCCCTCTACCTCTGCTCTTGCCATATATGTGCTGGCCAGAAAATCTCGAGGCCGCCCCTTTGCTGGGCAGGGCTTGCCTGACCTCTCTCCTGGTGAATGCCCCTTATTTCCTATCCTGGCAGAACGATACCCTTGAGGCCCAGCACAGCAGGAAGGAAGATGAGGACATGTGCGAGTGTGTTGCATTCTGGCATGTGGTGTCCCGGGCAGCAGCGGGAGGTTGATATATTTCAGGTGCTGACCCGGGGGAAAGGATAATCATGCTGCACTTCAAGTTCTTTAAAACGTTAACTTCCCTTCTCCATAGCCAGAGAACAGGGAGGGCAGAGGAGACCCTATTTGGGGGGACCGGATGATGCCTGCCAGGGGTGGGCATATCAACCAGACCTGGGGCTTCAGGTCCCAAGGGGTGAATGGGGCCAGAGCAACCCACGCTCCCTGCTTGGCGCAAACACTGGGCCAACCAGCTGGCACTCCACCGCAGGTGCATCGCGGGCGAAAGCCCAACGCGCAGCTGCAAGTTAAAGTTACCTTCAGGAATAAAAGACTCTCCCGAATGCAATGTAATGTCAGAGATAGAAGGTTTGAAGCAAGTCCGCGTGGCGTGCTAAAAGGGGCATAAGAAGGTCCGTACAGTCTCAGCGAGACGGCAGCAGGCAGACCACAGGCTCTGCTGGCCGAGGCGGGGAGGAGCTAGTGGAAATAAAGATGGGAGGGAATTGCAATCGACAACGGAGGGGAAAACGAGCAGAATTTCTACTGTGGAATATCAAATCCAGAGATTTAGAATAGTGGTTCTCAAAATGCGGTCCACGGACTTCTGGAGGTTCCTAAGATCCTTTAAAGGAATTTACAAGGTCAAAGCTATTTTTGCAATAACACTAAGACATCATTTGCCTTTTCTTTGCTCTTTGATGCGTGCACCCCAATGATGCAGAAGCAACGGTGGCAAAACTTCTAGGGCTTTCGCACGAATCAAGGCAGTGGGACCAACTGTACTAGCACTCGCCGTATCCTTTATTGAAAAAGAAAAGGACAAAAAAGTTCCATTTAAGTATAGCCTTGATGAAACAGTAAAAGTTATGAATGTTTTTGAACCCTGACCCCCGAGTACATGTCTCTTTGGTATTCTGTGAGAGCAAACCGGAAGAGTACATAGAGCACTTCGGCTGCGTATCAAAGGACGACAGAAGTTTCAATGAACGAAACTGGGCAAGTGTTTGGATTGTGACCTGAGCTAGAAATTCTTCTCATGAAAGACCGTTTTCACTCGTCTGACCTGGGGGTTTGGCAGACATTTTCTCAGAAATGAACAAAGCGAGCCTGTCACTTGGAGGAAAAGAAGTGACAGTATTTATTGCCAATGACAAAACTAAAGCTTTCAAGCACAAAGCAGTACTTTGGAAAACACATATCCGTGGCTGAGAGCGCGACAGTTTCCAGCACTTAGAGATTTCGCATGAGCTCGGTGGTGACAATAATGGCTGTGATTTTCTTTTGTTATGCACAATGAGCTGTGTCAACATTTGGAAAGTCTGCATAACTCAGCGAACCAGTATTTTCCAAATTAACAATACACGATGTCACAAAAATCACACAGGGGTAGAAGAGCCACTCCAAGTGCAAGACAGACCAAAGGATTCCGTAACACAAAAGGCAAAGCTCACCGACACTGTTTCAGAATCCGCATGACAACTAAGCGTTGAGAGACTACCAGTTGCCAGGTTGTCGTGCAGTGTCAAAGCGTAGCGTCCACAGAGGATTTTAAAGTGCTCCTCCTTTCTCCAACTGCATAGCCGTATGAGGCCAGATCTGCTTCAACTACTTCAGCGCAAACGTGTTACAACACATTCGACGCAGAAGCGAGATGAGACTCAGTCATCTTCTACTGCACCAGACATTAAAGGGATTTTCGAAAACACAGAACAATGCCACTCTTCTCACTCACGTTTTGGTTTTGGAAAAATAGTTGTTTTTCATAAAAATGATATTTACATTAACATGTGAGAGGTTTACTTTTATTTTTAGATGAGTGAATGAATCAACATTTTTAACCCTCCCAGTGTTAATTTCAATATTGCCAGATAAGATCCACGGAAGCAACACCCTTTGGGTCCTCAGTAATTCAAGAAAGTAAAGGGCTCCTGAGGCCAGGAAGCTTGAGAACTGCTGACTTTGAAGTCACCTTTGCTGTCTCCCAGCGCGCGGGGAGGGGGCGGTGAGGAGGCAGGGAGAGGCAGAGAGAGCAAGAGCCCCGGAAACGGCAGGCGGAGTGGACGAGGTGTGGAGCGGGGTCCTGGGGACAGGGGACCCACACTGCCGCCCTCTGGGTCACCCTGGGACACCGACACTGAGAGCCGAGACCGGTGGGTGCAGAACTGAGTTGCAGGGAGACACCTGCTCCGAAGAGAGGTTCTGTGTCCTCCCAGGAAAAGACGGATATGACGGAAGGAAAACCTTCCCAGGACAGGAGGAGGAAGGGGGAGCCCCCTTCCAGCAATGATGGGGTGTGGAAGGCAGAGGCGGCTGGGCAGGGAGAAGAGAGGACACCTGTGTCCCTGCTCGGCCACCCTTGCGGTGGAATCCAGAGAGCCCAGGGCACCGGGGCTGGCGGCCCACGCCTCCAGGCCCGGTACAGCAGTGGGGAGGGGCCCGGGCTAGCGCTTCTGCTGGTCACTGCTGTGTCAGTGTGGGAGTGAGGGGGCCTCCACCATCCCGGTGACCCTAGGCTATGCCCCAGCAGGACAGTGCTTGGTGCTGAGCGACCAGGGTGCTGGCAGAGTCTGGGGGTTGGTGAGAAGAGGCCGCAGTGGGTGGGTCCATGGCTGGGATCAGGGTCTCAGTGGTGGGTGCCATTTGCATCCCAGTGCCCAGCCAGGACCATTCGCACACGAGGAAGCTGACCTGACCCTGCAGCCTGCAGCAGGGACCAGCAAGGAGGCAGCGGGCAGTGGGCAGTTCATGAAGTCCAGACACCATCAATTCTGTCACCAGGAAGGCTGCTGGCCTGGCCAAAGGCACCGGTGGGACAGAGGGGCTCTGGAAGGGAAGCTGAGCCAGGCGCAGAGCCCAGAGACCAGCTGAGCTCTCTTGCTGCTCCAGGCGTGGGGCCCTCGGGCGGATTGCACAGAAATAAAAGAACTGCATTTGCTCCCCACAGCTCCATTGGGTGTGAGTGAGTTTCTGACCCTGCCACAGAAGCAGTAATCACTCTACGAAGACAGGGAACCTCTCCCAACCAGAAAAAAGAGAAAAAGAAAAAAAAAAAAGAGCTGGATCGTCAGATTTGAAGGGGTCACTGGAGTGTAGGTGACACATGCACAGATTGACGGGGCTGCCCCGTTACAAGGACGGAGAAAATCCCAGCCAGAGTGGGCAGATAAACAGCCACCTCCCAGGGGACTGTGGCCGGGCACATGGTTTCCACGCAAGGTTGAAGCCGCGGGACACTCCTGTCCTGCTGCTGCTGTTACCGATTTCCACAAATTCGTGGCTTAACACAGCACACATTTATCATCTTCCGTTCTGGGGGTCAGTTCCACACGGGATTCACTGAGCTAAAATCAAGGTGTCACCAGGACTGTGACCCTTTCTGGAGCCCCTGGGGGAGAATCTGCTCCCGGCTTCTCCAGCGTGGGGAGGGCCCCACACTGGCTGGCTCGGCCCCTTCCTCACCTTCACGGCCAGCGTCGAGTCTCGCAGTGACCCTCTCTGACTCCCTCCTGCTTCCGCTTGGGCCCTGAGATGACCTCGGCCCACCCAGACAACCCAGGCAACCTCCCTACGGCCAGCCCAGCTGGTCAGCAGCCTTGACTGCGTCTGCGACCTTAAATCCCTTTGCCACACACCCAGCATGCTCACGGGGTCCAGGGATT